ATTACAGTCAGTTTCTGGTAGTTACTTGGTCATCATATTACAGTCACTTTCTGGTAGTAACGTGGCCATTATGTTACAGTCGCCTCCTAGTAGTAACGTGGCCATCATGTCCTCGCCATCATCTTAAGTCACAGTTACAGAATCACATTCTGTCCATCCCGATACAGTCACATCCTGTTCGTCACGTTACAGTCACATAATATCGTCACGTTACAGTCACATCCTGTTCGTCACGTTAGTCACATCCTCTCCGTCACGTTACAGTCACATCCTGTTCGTCACGTTACGGTAACATCCTGCTCGTCACGTTAGTCACATCCTGTTCGTCACGTTACAGTCACATCCTGCTCGTCACGTTACAGTCACATCCTGTTCGTCACGTCAGTCACATCCTCTCCGTCATGTTACAGTCACATCCTGTTCGTCACGTTACAGTCACATCCTCTCCGTCATGTTACAGTCACATCCTGATCGTCACGTTAGTCACATCCTCTCCGTCATGTTACAGTCACACTCTGTTCGTCACGTTAGTTACATCCTCTCCGTCATGTTACAGTCACATCCTGTTCGTCACGTTAGTCACATCCTCTCCGTCACGTTACAGTCACATCCTGATCGTCACGTTAGTCACATCCTCTCCGTCATGTTACAGTCACATCCTGGTTGTTACGTTAGTCACATCCTCTCCGTCATGTTACAGATCACATTCTGTCCATTCCGATACAGTCACATCCTGTTCGTCACGTTACAGTCACATAATATCGTCACGTTACAGTCACATCCTGTTCGTCACGTTAGTCACATCTTCTCCGTCACGTTACAGTCACATTTCTTTCGTCACGTTACAGTCACATCCTGTTCGTCACGTTACAGTCACATCCTGTTCGTCACGTTACAGTCACATCCTGCTCGTCACGTTACAGTCATATCCTGTCCGTCACGTTACAGTCACATCCTGTTCGTCACGTTACAGTCACATCCTCTCCGTCACGTTACAGTCACATCCTCTCCGTCACGTTACAGTCACATCCTGATCGTCACGTTAGTCACATCCTCTCCCTCATTTTACAGTTATATCCTGTTCGTCACGTTACAATCACATCCTCTCCGTCACGTTACAGTCACATCCTGCTCGTCACGTTACAGTCACATCCTGTTCGTCACGTTACAGTCACATCCTGCTCGTCACGTTACAGTCTTATCCTGTTTGTCACGTAAGTCACATCCTCTCCGTCACGTTACAGTCACATCCTGTTCGTCACGTTAGTCACATCCTCTCCGTCACGTTAACAGTCACATCCTGATCGTCACGTTAGTCACATCTTCTCCGTCCTTTTACAGTTATATCCTGTTCGTCACGTTAGTCATATCCTCTCTGTCACGTTACAGTCACATCCTGATCGTCACGTTAGTCACATCCTCTCCGTCATGTTACAGTCACATCCTGGTTGTTACGTTAGTCACATCCTCTCCGTCACGTGAGGGTCACATCGTGGCCGTCACGCTACAGTGAGTTATTGGCCGTCATTTCACAGTCACTTCACGTCACAGTCACAACCTTGCTATGTCTTGTTATGACTTTGTAATATTCTTATATACCCAAAGATAAGCACACCCCTATTTCTGAACCATGACAAATGGCACAAATCATGGCATGGGATGACTGACACCATGAGCTGGGCGATACCAATGTCATCGGATAGAACAAACATTTGATAACAAATAAATAAGATATTGGTGAGTTGTGATTGAAATATACTGACAAAAACATCATGGTAACACAGGTACTGTTTTTGATCTTAGACAATACCTAAAAAAGTATGGAGCTGCAGGATTAAGGAAATGAGTTACGTTTGATGTTTCATGTGAAAATGTTCCTTAAAGTCTCTACTTGACATGACACGTGAAACAGATCAGTAGCGGGTCTAACCGCCACGTGCCCGGATGACGCATTCCACCCTACATCTCATGCCTCCAGTCAGACGTTGGGTCTGTTGATGGGTCAACAACAACCACTCCTGATGCAATGCTGCTTCCAATTGGTGTAAATCTTGTACAGGAGGATCTCGTGCCTGTATGCGCCGCCCCAGAATATCCCAAACATGTCCAAGGGGGTTCAAATCTGGGCTCATTGCTGGCCAGGGTAGAGTCGTTATTGCATTGGTCCTCATGTAATCAACGACTGCATACGAACGATGAGGTCTGGCATTGTCATCCATGTACTGAGGTCGAGTAGCAAGAGTGTGGTTGTCAAAATGAGGAACGACGGCTGGCCTCCAAACGTCCCGGATGTACTGAGCTCCTATTAAGTTGCCCCTTATGGTGACCAAATCCAACCTGCAATCATGAGAGATACACCCACAAACCATCACCGAGCCCCCGCCGTATGCAACAGTCGGTTTAACGTTCCTGGGGGTGTAGGCCGTGTTCCGGTGCCTCCAAACTCTCGTTCTTCCATCAGTGACTTGGAGCAGAAAGCGACTTTTGTCTGACCAATGGATCCGTCTCCAAGTTCTCAGATTCAAGTGTCGCGCAATACACCATGCTAAACGAGCACCTTTGTGGTGATCTCTCAACAAGGGACGCTTTATGACTCGTCCAGCTCTCAGTCCTGCTGCTTTCAGCCGGTTCCTGATGATTGGGCAACCACAGCTGGCTCAGACGAGTACTTGTTAAAAAGGGTTCACGGCGTATGAGACGAAGAAGGTCTCTGTCTTCGCGATGTGTCGTCACAGGAGGTCTTCCGGATCTGGGACGGTACTGTAGAAACCTGTTTCTCGACAAGATGGCTTACGACAGTGTGATGATACCCCAAATTCCGACCAATGGCATTACAAGACATTCCTGCGTTATACATGCCGATTATTTGCTATCTTGTGGCGTTTTATAATCGCCTTCGTGGCATGGTCACACAATGTCATGGAATAACTGTTTAAAACCGAGCCTAAGAAAGCAATTTTAAGAGTTGGATATACAGCTTTTAGAGATACTCGAGGGTAGCATGCTGCACGAGCATACCATGCATGACATGTGAGCTTTCGTCACGCATGACTGATTACATCATCTCGAGAAAAAATAATTCTTCCCGGAATTATATCATTCATGAATGTTACAAATATTGGGACCAAACAATAATGAAATATATTAGGGTTTGCCTAACTTTTTTCTTTGTGTGTATCTTGTATCCCGAAGAAGAAAACAAAAAGGCAATCTCGACATATGATACCCGATTCTCCCTATGTTGTTAAATTACAGTGTACACAAGGAACCTACAAGTGATTCAGTGATAAGTGCTTCACGCCGCAACAGCGATGTTGCAGCTATTCACCAATTTACAGCTTTGACATGTTTAGGTGTGTCGTGTGAGGTTTGTATCTTGCTTTCAGCCAAGGCTGATTCGATATCCATCAACCACCTCCTCGTGTCCTCGCCCCCAGATTGCAGTTAGCGATGTATTATATCTGCCCCCTGGCAGCCGGTGAGTCTCAACTGGTCAGATTCTCGAGTAAACAGTATCTTTTTGTCATTCCCTGGCACATCATCGATTCCAGTGGTTGAACTTCGGTAAACCCGGTGCCACCTCGGCAGCATGGGTCTCTGTGGCAGCAGATCATTTAATGCCTGGGTTGATCTATTGAGACAAAACATAATTTCCATCCGAGTGTTTCTGGTAAATGTCCTTGCTGTTACATTGCCATAGGCAGGACTGTGTGGTGGGAGTCATAGTGCCATCAAGACGTGGTTGTGGTTGTGGTTGTGGTTGTGCGTTGGAGGCAACATGTGATGCCAAATGAGGAAATATGGGACGAATCTTAAAAGGTCTTTTTAACTTGTCAATCTCCTGTGTGAGATCTACCCTGCCTGGCTGGCCACAGTGATTCACTCTTTACGGCTTACTGGGGCTTGTCGGATGTGATATAAATGTAATTTATTTCTTCTATCATATTTTGACGGAATGAGTTATTGATCAGACCATCAAATGTTCGTGATGCACCAGAGTAATATAGTAATGACAAGACAGACACCATCTTAGGTTCGTGATGCACCAGAGTAATATAGTGATGACAAGAAAGATACCATCTTAAGTTCGTGATGCACCCGAGTAATATAGTGATGACAAGACAGACACCAGCTCATGTTCGTGATGCACCAGAGTAATATAGTGATCACAAGACAGACACCAGCTCATGTTCGTCATGCGCCACAGTAATATAGTGATGACAAGACAGACACCAGCTCATGTTCGTGAGGCACCAGAGTAATAAAGTGATGACAAGACAGACACCATCTTAAGTTCGTGATACACCAGAGTAATATAGTGATAACACGACAAAACACCAACTCATGTTCGTGATGCGCCAGAGTAATATAGTGATGACAAAAAAGACACCATCTCATATTCCCATCCCAGTTAGGTGTTCATCATTCTACCATCACCTATATTGTACCCAGTATTATATGTTTTCTACTAGCTCTAGTGCTGAGTGTTAAACGACATTTTGAAAGATGTTAACTTCTGATAGTGCTGATGTAATCTGACATCTCTATACATTTAATGACTGAAAAAATGACATGTAAATAATAGCATGTATTTCTATATTTATGTATTACTTTAGTTTCATAGGTTAATATGTATTAAGGTCTTCCGTCTGTCCGTATGACAGTATTCCAGTTATAACACGGCGTGGCAGCTTAATATGGGAGCAAAGCCCGAAGTGATGAAGTGATGACGTTTACCACTTGAGTGAACCCCAAGTGCACGGGTATGGTGCTGACAAACCTAGAAACGGGGCGAACCGTGATTCGAACCCACAATCAAAGGTTTTTGGGGTGCCCAACGGACGCAACTCAGACGACTGGTCAATCTAGTATGTACTCACTGTACGCAAGTGTTGGTGGTCTGTACGTACTGTACGCAAGTGTTGGTAGCCTGTACTTACTGTACGCATGTGTTGGTAGTCTGTACTCACTGTACGCAAGTGATTGTAGACTGTACTTACTGTTTCATCCGAGTCAGGGTCTAGAAAGTCTATTGTGGATTCTTCTCCGTCCAGTAACACTGACACTACTCTTTCTCTCTCTCCATCTGAAAATACAACAGGTGCTTGTCAAGTACAATATATCTTGTGCTTTTAGTCAATCGTTAGATCTGTGTTGATGTTTGTTTAATATTTTCAGGGCTTTTATCAGTATCATGCATGCATCACTATCATGAGCTCCTACACAATGTTTGAAACATTAGGACATTACTCGGGCCACACTCGGGTCCTTGTTCAGGACAATCACACATTCAGGGGAGATAACTCATGGTGACATTACTCGGGCCACACTCGGGTCCTTGTTCAGGACAATCACACACACAAGGGAGATAACTCATGGTGACATTACTCGGGCCACACTCGGGTCCTTGTTCAGGACAATCACACACTCAGGGGAGATAACTCATGGTGACATTACTCGGGCCACACTCGGGTCCTTGTGCAGGACAATCACACACTCAGGGGAGATAACTCATGGTGACATTACTCGGGCCACACTCGAGTCCTTGTGCAGGACAATCACACACTCAGGGGAGATAACTCATGGTGACATTACTCGGGCCACACTCGGGTCCTTGTTCAGGACAATCACACACACAAGGGAGATAACTCATGGTGACATTACTCGGGCCACACTCGGGTCCTTGTTCAGGACAATCACACACTCAGGGGAGATAACTCATGGTGACATTACTCGGGCCACACTCGGGTCCTTGTTCAGGACAATCACACACACAAGGGAGATAACTCATGGTGACATTACTCGGGCCACACTCGGGTCCTTGTTCAGGACAATCACACACTCAGGGGAGATAACTCATGGTGACATTACTCGGGCCACACTCGGGTCCTTGTGCAGGACAATCACACACTCAGGGGAGATAACTCATGGTGACATTACTCGGGCCACACTCGAGTCCTTGTGCAGGACAATCACACACTCAGGGGAGATAACTCATGGTGACATTACTCGGGCCACACTCGGGTCCTTGTTCAGGACAATCACACACTCAGGGGAGATAACTCATGGTGACATTACTCGGGCCCCACTCGGGTCCTTGTTCAGGACAATCACACACTCAGGGGAGATAACTCATGGTGACATTACTCGGGCCACACTCGAGTCCTTGTGCAGGACAATCACACACTCAGGGGAGATAACTCATGGTGACATTACTCGGGCCCCACTCGGGTCCTTGTTCAGGACAATCACACACTCAGGGGAGATAACTCATGGTGACATTACTCGGGCCACACTCGAGTCCTTGTGCAGGACAATCACACACTCAGGGGAGATAACTCATGGTGACATTACTCGGGCCACACTCGGGTCCTTGTTCAGGACAATCACACACACAAGGGAGATAACTCATGGTGACATTACTCGGGCCACACTCGGGTCCTTGTTCAGGACAATCACACACTCAGGGGAGATAACTCATGGTGACATTACTCGGGCCACACTCGGGTCCTTGTTCAGGACAATCACACACACAAGGGAGATAACTCATGGTGACATTACTCGGGCCACACTCGGGTCCTTGTTCAGGACAATCACACACTCAGGGGAGATAACTCATGGTGACATTACTCGGGCCACACTCGGGTCCTTGTGCAGGACAATCACACACTCAGGGGAGATAACTCATGGTGACATTACTCGGGCCACACTCGAGTCCTTGTGCAGGACAATCACACACTCAGGGGAGATAACTCATGGTGACATTACTCGGGCCACACTCGGGTCCTTGTTCAGGACAATCACACACTCAGGGGAGATAACTCATGGTGACATTACTCGGGCCCCACTCGGGTCCTTGTTCAGGACAATCACACACTCAGGGGAGATAACTCATGGTGACATTACTCGGGCCACACTCGAGTCCTTGTGCAGGACAATCACACACTCAGGGGAGATAACTCATGGTGACATTACTCGGGCCCCACTCGGGTCCTTGTTCAGGACAATCACACACTCAGGGGAGATAACTCATGGTGACATTACTCGGGCCACACTCGGGTCCTTGTGCAGGACAATCACACACTCAGGGGAGATAACTCATGGTGGCATTACTCGGGCCCCACTCGGGTCCTTGTTCAGGACAATCACACACTCAGGGGAGATAACTCATGGTGACATTACTCGGGCCACACTCGGGTCCTTGTTCAGGACAATCACACACTCAGGGGAGATAACTCATGGTGACATTACTCGGGCCACACTCGGGTCCTTGTGCAGGACAATCACACACTCAGGGGAGATAACTCATGGTGGCATTACTCGGGCCCCACTCGGGTCCTTGTGCAGGACAATCACACACTCAGGGGAGGTAACTCATGAATACAAAATGACATTCAGATGGTTGTCAAATGTAACAAATGTCACATTTGGGATAACACTTTCTTAGTAAAGTACAGATTGTAGTACTTCTTTTGGCCTCGGTGACTTTGTGTGCTGGCGATTAGGGGCCTCACTCGGGGTGTGTGTGTTCGAATCCCGGATGGGACGCAACCTAAAAAAGTACTAGAATCTGCACTTTACTAAGTAAGCGTTAACCCAAATATATGATTTGTTACAGAGATACATGTTGGTTACACGAGAATACAGTTGGTAATTGTGCAGGACAATCACACACTGAGGGGAGATAACGCATGTTGGTGATGAAAATGATCCGACATTCGATCCAATTTCTAAAATGTCTTCTCTGCCAATCTCCAGTGAGTTTGTACACGAGGACTATTGTTTCTCACCTTCGTCCACTGTGTATTTAAAGCTAATAACGACGGTCAACGGCGCCTGTCATAACGTGTCTTAATCACCGCCTGGCGACCATTACGGTCAACAGACGGTCATTATCACCTAAAACGTCCGCGGCAGCTTTGTGAAATAGCAAAGACCATTAAAAGCGCATTCCCATCATATTTAACAGCTAATGTGTTCGGGAAATGTGGCGTGTAGCCCCAGTAAGACTCGGCCCACATGAGGCTGGAGGCTGGAGGCTACGCCTGCCCATGTGGAGGCTTTAACAGATAATGTCCTGAAATGTTTAGAAGCTGTAGCTTCCATGATGTCAGAACTGGCATGGCTTTATACTGTTTGGTCTCTGCTCTATCGAAAAACCGCACTGAAAGAATAAAAACAGTATTAAACCATGTCGCACTTAATAAACTCACTACAAGATGAAATCCTTAGGTAGCTCATGTCATTATGTCCAGGAGTGCCTTAACACCAGCACACGAAGAAGCAAAAACCAGATAACATCTAAAACATTTCACACACACAACATGCAAGTTGTATAGAAATTACTCAGAACCTAGCCTGCAGACTGCCATGGGGAATGTCGTTATTTGACACCAATGGATTAAGGCTGAAGCGCCACAATAATCCAAGCTCAGCTACAAAGTCAGCACGTTTAGGTCTGATAACAGCAAATAATTAATGTATTCTGGTCTTTCGACAGGAGGAAATAAGGATATTTAGCCAATATCCCCCAACAGCGCCCGGAAGGTGATGAGATTTAGACGCGTGTAAACACTGATTGCTCTTCAAAGACAGCTTTGATAGCGGGATGCCGCACGATCATTGGAAGGACGGACAACGAGGCGGACAGCACAGGGCAGTACTCTATACACCCGACTTGCTTCAAACTGGACGAAATGTTGAAAGCTTGACATATTGTCGGCTCAGTGATGTTTTCTTCTCTGGGTAATTACGAACTGTATGATGAAAGGATAGTGAGGAGGGGCTTGTTTAAAGTAGGTCACGGAGCAGGACTAAAAATACGAAGAATCTAACTGTTAAAAGTGAATACACTGCTATAATCACATGGGCGTCACGTAAAAAACGCCACAACAATTATCAAATAGCTCCGGGTAAAAAGATGCTGATACACGTGCCCTGTTCCAGGTGTAGATAGACACACGTGCCGTGCTCCAGGTGTAGATAGACACACGTGCCCTGTTCCAGGTGTAGATAGACACACGTGCCCTGTTCCAGGTGTAGATAGACACATGAGCCCTGTTCCAAGTGTAGATAGACGCTCGTGCCGTGCTCCAGGTGTGTAGATAGGCACACGTGCCCTGCTCCAGGTGTAGATAGACACACGTGCCCTGTTCCAGGTGTAGATAGACACATGAGCCCTGTTCCAAGTGTAGATAGACGCTCGTGCCGTGCTCCAGGTGTGTAGATAGGCACACGTGCCCTGCTCCAGGTGTAGATAGACACACGTGCCCTGTTCCAGGTGTAGATAGACACATGAGCCCTGTTCCAAGTGTAGATAGACGCTCGTGCCGTGCTCCAGGTGTGTAGATAGGCACACGTGCCCTGCTCCAGGTGTAGATAGACACACGTGCCCTGTTCCAGGTGTAGATAGACACATGAGCCCTGTTCCAAGTGTAGATAGACGCTCGTGCCGTGCTCCAGGTGTGTAGATAGGCACACGTGCCCTGCTCCAGGTGTAGATAGACACACGTGCCCTGTTCCAGGTGTAGATAGACGCTCGTGCCCTGCTCCAGGTGTGTAGATAGACGCTCGTGCCGTGCTCCAGGTGTGTAGATAGACACATGAGCCCTGTTCCAAGTGTAGATAGACGCTCGTGCCCTGCTCCAGGTGTGTAGATAGACGCTCGTGCCGTGCTCCAGGTGTAGATAGACACATGAGCCCTGTTCCAAGTGTAGATAGACGCTCGTGCCGTGCTCCAGGTGTGTAGATAGACACACGTGCCGTGCTCCAGGTGTGTAGATAGACGCTCGAGCCGTGCTCCAGGTGTGTAGATAGACACACGTGCCGTGCTCCAGGTGTGTAGATAGACGCTCGTGCCGTGCTCCAGGTGTGTAGATAGACACACGTGCCGTGCTCCAGGTGTGTAGATAGACGCTCGTGCCCTGCTCCAGGTGTGTAGATAGACGCTCGTGCCGTGCTCCAGGTGTGTAGATAGACGCTCGTGCCGTGCTCCAGGTGTGTAGATAGACACACGTGCCCTGCTCCAGGTGTGTAGATAGACGCTCGTGCCGTGCTCCAGGTGTAGATAGACACACGTGCCGTGCT